CCTCTTCCTCCTCCTGCAAGCCATGTGATATTGGGCGATTGTAACTGGCTTCGTACAGGTTGCAGCCTTTAACGCGTGCGTTTCCGACGCGAGCGTGTGGAAAAACAACGATTTAAAAAGTTGGAAACAATTGCCTGCTCGTACGAGAGGCAGCTTGACTGACATGGAAACATGGCGGAGGTTGGTTTTCTCCGGCCAGTGCAATGCAAGTTAGGATACCAGCCGCTCCGTGAACTCTTTAGACTCCGCACTCACCGCACGCTCGATCCTGCGGCTTCAAAGGCCAAAAGAAGGGAAAACGGAAAGATAAGAGACAGAAAACCAAACTCACCGGGCGACCCCCTGCTGCAACCATGTGGTCTGTACAAGTCGCCCAAGAAAGAAAAAGCAAAAAAAAAAACAAAAAAAACGACGCGATGCAACCACAAAAGTCAGCGATTAGAGACCCCCACAAGTTTCGTTAATTCAAATGAGCATCACGGAGACTGAAAGACCGCAGATCCATTCAGAAAAAAATGCAGCGCAGTCACAGAGCAGAGAGAGGGGCTGGGACTCTCACGCTCACACACAGCATGCAGTTTGATTAAAAAGCTTGGTCGGAGAGGTCAGGCAGATCTGCTGCTGCCAGGGGGGGAGATGGTCACCAGATTAAACCGATTACCGGGGGGGATGTAAACCTACCTTCAAATCCTCTGCTGGGGCATTTCAGGCAAGTCAGCCCTGAGAAGATGCACATTAGCCGGCAGCCCCGCTCCTCAGCACTAAAATATCCTGCGCGTTGAGGGGAAATTTCCAAGTGGCCAGCAGTGTGTGAGCAGTGTGTATGCGTGTGCGTAAATGGGGAGGGGAGGGGACGGGGGGGATAATCCTACGGTGGGGCAAAGAGGAAATGCGTCATTATTAATGGCCCAAGCGTTTTGTAGTCCGTTTGGTCATATCTGTACCCAGTTAAACTACAAAATGGATCGGGTTCGGCGATGTAGTGTTAGTTTCACGCGGTTTTTTTTTCCTTCCTGTTTTTTTTCTTCTTCTTTTTAGTAACGGACGAGCATTGATGTGCTAAAACCAGAAACTAAAAAGAAAAGAAAAGAAGAAGAAAAAAGACACGCAAACATCACCACCTGCTCAAATATTTTGAAAGTCCAGGGCTTGGAAAAAAATATTCAGCTTTGATTTTATAACACAGAAGGAAATGTACCTAGTTGATAATTCTCATATTTAATGCTACTGGTTCTTCCCACACTGAAAAATGGAAATATCTGACTGACTAAGCAGTATAGTGGACAGCAAGAGATCTCTAAACTAATTGTAGGGTCACAAAAACATGTTCATACACCAGCGACTGAGAGAAACTTTCTCTCTCCAGCAGACAAATATGCAGATGTTGATGCTGATGTACCAAACTGCACCATATGAGCCAAGTTTCCAAATCAGGAAACACTAAAAAAAAACACTTTTTTTGACTGAACACTGAACTGAAAATCAGCAGATAGAATAAATTGAGCTTGAGCTCATAGGACTGCCACATTTTCTAGAATGCATCTTAGACTGTCTCCATCACCTCTCAGGTTATATAAACACACAGTCCCTTTGACCTTGATGGAGTTATTGTCTTAAACTCAGTGAAGCTCCCCCAAAGACCCAGAAGCCATCTGCACATATGTCACAATAGTAATAAATGAAGAACTATGTATTAAGTCAACCTAAGTCAACGTCATGAAAGTGGATGTCTGAACTGCTAATTTCATCCAGGCCACAGTTCTGAATCATCAATGTTTGTCAGCCTTCTTACTGACATTCACATCACCCACGGCCTGCCACGCCACTAAAGTGAGGAGCTGTGCCAGCAGGTTT